TTCGTAATCTATTTGACGGCAGCTTAGGCTGTTTTAATAAAGGCAAGGCAACATTGAAACTTAAAGAAAATTATACGCCGAAATTTTTTTTCCACGAGTCGTTCCTCTCGCAATTAAGAGCAAGGTAGAAAATGAAGTTAACAAATTGATAGATCTAGGAGTTTTAGAGCCAGTTTCGTATGCGGAGTGGGGTACTCCAATAGTGCCAGTTTTGAAGAAAACTGGCGACGTTAGAATTTGTGGCGATTTTAAAGTTACGCTAAACCCACAGTTGAGGGTAGATAAGTATCCCTTGCCTCGTATAGAGGATATTTTTGCAAAACTTCACGGCGGTGAGGAATTCACCAAGCTTGATTTATCAATGGCTTATCAACAAATCCCTTTAGACGAGGTATCAAAAAAGCTTACAACGATCTCTACTCCAAAAGGCTTATTCCAATACACTAGGTTGATTTACGGGTTAGCTTCGGCACCAGCTATATTCCAAAAGATAATGGAGAGTTTACTAATGAATTTACAGGGAACGGTAGTGTTTTTGGATGATATTCTAATTACAGCTCCAAATAGGAAAACTCATATTGAACGAGTTGAAAAAGTACTGCAAGTGTTAGAAAAGTCGGGTTTCAAGTTAGCATTGAACAAGTGTGAATTTTTTGCCAAGGAAATAACATACCTTGGGCATGTAATCGACACACACGGCTTGCATACGAATCCGGACAAGGTAAAAGAAATCGATAAGATACAGTATCCAAACAATGTCAAAGAGTTGCAGGCTTTTTTGGGTGTTGTGAACTTTTACAGGAAGTTCATTCCTAATATCACAACAATGTGTGCGCCCTTGTATAAATTGCTGAAAGCGGATGAAACATTTAGCTTTACAGAGGAATGTAAAAAATCAGTTGACCGCTTAAAAGCAGCATTGAAAGCAGATAAATGTCTAGCGCATTTCAACCCAGGTTACGAAACGAAGTTAACCGTCGATGCAAGTCCAGTAGGACTTGGTGCAATTTTGTCGCAGGTAACTGCAGAGGGGTATGAGGTACCCATTGAATTCGCTTCACGGAAATTGTCCGCTGCGGAAATGCGCTACTCACAATTAGATAGGGAAGCCATAGCAATTTTGTTTGGGGTTAAGAAATTTCATAATTATCTGTACGGTAGGCATTTTAAGCTTGTAACGGATAATAAGCCATTGCATTACATTTTTAACCCAAAGAAGGGGATTCCAGTTTATGCAGCTAATCGTTTACAACGCATTGCGATAACCTTGTCAGGATACGATTTTGAGATCAAGCACATCAGATCGAATGAAAATGTAGCGGATTATTTTTCTAGAAATCCTTCAAGTATAATAAAAGAATCTGGTGATCTCATTGATAACGTAGCTCTGAATTTTTTTAAGGAAGTCAACTCTTCTCCAGTAAACGCAGAACTGATCAGGAAGGAATCTTTAGGAGATGAGTCGTTGAAGAAAGTGAGTCAGTTCATCCAAACGAAGTGGCCAGATAAAATTACGGATTCCTTGTTAAAACCATTTTTTGTACGTAGGTTGGAGTTATCAGAAGAAAACGGGTGCGTTTTTTGGGGTTACAGAATCGTAATTCCGGAAACACTCAGAGTCAGGGTAGCTAATTTTCTGCATGAGACGCACATGGGAATTTGTAAAATAAAATCCATGGCGAGGGAAAGCTGCTGGTGGCCAAATCAAAGTAAAGATTTGGAAAAGCTGGTTAGCGCTTGTGAACCCTGTTTAATGAACCGCAATAATCCAAGAAAGAAAGAACTTATGTCGTGGAAATGGCCAAAGCAGCCATGGTATCGCATACACATTGATTTTTTTGGACCCTTTTGTAAACGGTGGTGTTTGGTAGTAGTTGACAGTTACAGTAAGTGGGCTGAGTGTTTGGACATGGGAAATAATACAACAAGTAGTGCAACGATTTTTGCATTGAAAGAGCTGTTTGCTAGATTCGGGTTACCGCAAGAAATCGTTTCAGATAATGGTACCGCGTTTATGTCGAAAGAATTCAAAAACTTTGTTGACCGAAATTCAATCACTCATATCACAAGCCCAGTGGGGCATCCCGCTACAAACGGACAAGCAGAGAATTTAGTAAAGACAATGAAAAACGCTTTAAAGAAGAGTTTGTACACATCGGAGGTTTCACAGTTTCGGAATATTGTTTTAAGATTCCTGCTCGACTATCGAAATACGAAGCATACAAGCACAGGTGTCTCTCCTGCTCAGCTTATGTTTGGTAGACAGCTGCAAACGCGGTTGGATCTCATAAATCCTAAACGACAAGTAGAAGGGACATCTAAAGCCTGTGTAAAAAAGAAAGTGTTAAAAAGTCAGGCCGACCAAAAGAAATTTTACTCCGGCGCAAGAAATACCGAACTCAAAATGGGAGAAATGGTTGTAACAAAAAATTATTCGGTTCCGGGTAAGGTTTCATGGTCTAAAGGTTCAATAATTAAACGACTTGGAAAGCAAACATATCTGGTAAAAGTATGTTATGTAAGTAAACCTTGGAAAAGGCATATAAATCAGATTATTAAGTATAAGGAAAATGAAAATCCAAGTTATGATTCTAGTTTGTTAGACGATTATACACATAAGATTTCTCCTGAAAAGTCAAATTCGATACCTGAAGATCCGGTAATACAATCGGACCAAGAAATTGAAGAAAACATGGCCCAAGACTCGGGAAATGAGGCATTAGGTATCAAAGACATTTAGGAAAAATCTAATGAAAATAGAAAGGCCAATGAAACCGAAACAAAAAAAAATACAATTTAAGAACCAGAAACAAAATGTAAATTAAACATATATTTCATTTTATAAGAATGTAAGTACAACATGGAATTAAAGAATTGTACCTATGTAATACGAACACTAAAGAGGGGAAAGTGTAACATTGTATACGTAAAACGTACCAACATGTATAAGCATATTCTAGTGTGGCATCTCAATTGACCGACACTCATAATAGAATACACAAAAGCTAATCAGCTGATTTACAATCCACATGTGCTAAGCACTGACG